ACGACTTGCGCTCCGTTTCACCCAGACGAGTGCTGGAGAGCATACTCAGCCTCCGAGATATCTGAGAGGTGGAAAATCTCATCGCAGATAGAGACATGTTGAAAGGAAAATAGCTCCGGTGTTGCCCAATCAAATAAATATCTCAGATTTTTGTCCAAGACAAAATAACAATGCATGAAGTAACTATACCCAATGCCTCCGATATCTATAGAGGGCCACAGTAACGACAATACCTAATATAAACTAAGTTTTCCAATAAGCTCGATACAATTAGATATATCGAAACTGGACATGGCCTTGATTGCAGCGCTTGCAACCGGCCTTGAAAAGACTTGGAAAAGGCAGTTGTAATTTTGTCATTCTTTGAAACGCCTCGTGCCACTTGTCTTCAGTTTTCTGGCAAGAAGAATTACGCCGGTATCACAAACAAGGCGTCGAGCAACATATTCTTGGACCTTTGGTTGCGAGCCAGAGGACACTTATAAGCGCAATGTGTTCGAAACTTCACCAGGTTTAGTAACACAACATGTTTGACTTTCGAATGCTTTCCTAAGTGAGCATAATTTATGTGAAGCTGAATACAGATAAGTAAAACTCTTCGTACTCGGACAGTTTCGTGGTCTTTATTGCCACCGCTTCAGCAAATTACGTAGTGTCACATTTTGTCGCATTAAAAACTTAAATGAGTTCTGACTTTTCAAAAAACGAGAACATATGTGATGGAATGCATAACGATGACCTACGCTAGAAAGCTTAAAGGGACACTCCCACCTTAACATTAGTTTTGAGTTGAGATAGCCAAATTGGTGGCCATGGCCTGCAAATACCGGTTTGGGCACTCACAACATCGAAAAATGCTTTAATTCGAAGATATGGAATTTCAAACTTGCAGTTTTCGGATTCTAAGGGGCTAATGCATTGGAATGCCCCCTTAGAATTTGTGACGTCAGCGGAGATCTAACGATTTTTAAATCTTAGACTAAAACCATCGTTAAAGGGACCCTCCCACCTTCAAAAAAGTTAATGAATTGGCGCGAAAGTGATGTCGCTCGGTTCAGAAAGAGCAAAAATGAATATCTACCAAATTTCATCGAAAAATATTCACCTGTTTTCAAGATATTAGACTTTTACTTTTGTTTACTTTTTGGGATCTCCGCTGTTCCTAGCGACTTTATTTGAAAGTGCGGCATTTGTTGCGCGCAAAGCAGCATATACCACCGCGTGCTGCCAAACGTTTTAGTAAAAGATTTAAAAATCGTTAGATCTCCGCTGACGTCACAAATTCTAAGGGGGCATACCAATGCATTAGCCCCTTAGAATCCGAAAACTGCAAGTTTGAAATTCCATATCTCCGAATTAAAGCATTTTTCGATGTTGTGAATGCCCAAACCGGTATTTTCAGGCCATGGCCACCAATTTGGCTATCTCAACTCAAAACTAATGTTAAGGTGGGAGGGCCCCTTTAAAGGATAACTCCCACCTTAACATTAGTTTTGAGTTGAGATAGCCAAATTGGTGGCCATGGCCTGCAAATACCGGTTTGGGCACTCACAACATCGACAAATGCTTTAACCCTCGCCCGCACATGGGGGGGTGGTTGCCACCCCCCCCCCAGGCAGTCTTTCTGCTCTGCACTCAACATTTTTAGAGCTAGACGGCTGATTTTTCGTATAGCTGCTCGTCTATCCTTTCTTGATGTCCACTGAAAATTTCAAGTTTCTGTGATTTTTGGTTTCGGAGATATGACCTTGTTTTCCAGGTCATGTCATGACCCAAATGGCCAATTCTCAACATCTTGCGTTTGCCATGGGCCTTGTGAGCTTTTGACACCCTGATTTCGGCCTTTTTTGCCAGTCTTACCTCCCACCTATCATGGAACATGTTGTTCGACGATGTACAGGGGTCAAGGTCAGGGTCAAGGTCAACCTAGGTCATCTAAGATAATTGCGTTTTAGGCAAGCTGAATTTACTTTTTGTGAAGTTTTTTGACTGCATTTTTGGTAAAAGCTTCTCAGATCATGATTTCATGTGATATGGACCCAAAAACAATCGGTGCACACATCAGTATACACACAGACACACACAGACATACAAACACATATAATTGACCTTGACCTAACTTGACCTGAAATGACCTCAGCAGCAAAATTCTGGTCGGATAGTGTGACAAAGAGGTTCTAGCTGGCTTGGCACCAGAAAACAGCATCGTCATCGGTATTTGATAAGCAGCGCACTTGATATCCAACGGTGACCCAAAACAGCAACATTTTTTAGTTTGACCTGACCTGGAAGGTCAATGACTGACCTGAGAAGGTAAAACTGGGTATCATTGGATTCGTCTCTTCCCAAAGAATCTTTTTGGTCTTTACTGCTAAGCTCTATCTCCAACAGGAACGAAATGGCGCGGGGGGGGGGGGTGGCAACCACCCCCCCCCCCCATGTGCGTTCTAGGATGGGAAAATGGCATGTGCGGGCGAGGGTTCGGAGATATGGAATTTCAAACTTGCAGTTTTCGGATTCTAAGGGGCTAGTGCATTGGTATGCCCCCTTAGAATTTGTGACGTCAGCGGAGATCTAACGATTTTTAAATCTTTTACTAAAACGTTTGGTAGCACGCGGTGGTATATGCTGCTTTGCGCGCAACAAATGCCGCACTTTCAAATAAAGTCGCTAGGAACAGCGGAGATCCCAAAAAGTAAACAAAAGTAAAAGTCTGATATCTTGAAAACCGGTGAATATTTTTCGATGAAATTTGGTAGATATTCGTTTTCGCTCTTTCTGAACCGAGCGACATCACTTTCGTGCCAATTCATTAACTTTTTTGAAGGTGGGAGGGTCCCTTTAACACGTGGTGGTATACGCTGCTTGGCGCGCAACGTCTGCCGCACTTTAAGGCTTCCAAATTATTGCTTCCAAATAAAGTCGCTAGTAACAGGGGAGATCCCAAAAAGTAAACAAAAGTAAAAGCCTAACTTATCTTGAAAACCAGTGAATATTTTTCGGTGAAATTTGGTAGATATTCGTTTTCGCTCTTTCTGAACCAAGGGACATCACTTTCATGCCAATTCATTAACTTTTTTGAAGGTGGGAGGGTCCCTTTAAAGGGACTATCCCACCTTCTAAAATGTTGTTAAAACCAGTTAAATTGTGCCCGACTTTATAGATTGGATGACCAGGAACACGGTTCTGGCATTTATTTTTCATTAAACATCTTAGGCTTCCCATATTCCAAACACAAACTTTCAAATATGTGACGTCACAGCCCAAAATTACCTCTTTCCCCAGGCCACATTACTGTCATAAAGCTGATTCTTTTTACTCTGTAGGCACCACAACAAAGTTCAGACCAAGTTTTAAGCGATTTTTCAACGAACAAACCCATTTAAATCAGAATGACTAAACGAGGTGACGTCACACTAACGGTCGCTCCATGTTGAAGATAGGGCCTTGCACAAGGCCCATTTTCAAATGAAGGGAACGAATTTTTTCAACACCAAGAGGCCGCGCGGGTTGCAACCTAGATAGATAGTGGTTTCTGAACCTCGCCTCAAACTTGGCTATCTCAACTCAAACCCCATGTTAAAGGTGGGATAGTCCCTTTAACCCGGCAGTTGCTGGGGTATTTCGCCACCCACCGTTTGCTGGGGGGGGGGGGGCGTTAAACGCCCCCAGCCGATAACTCGAGAACTAATAGGCGCAGCGAAACGCACGAGGCGGCAAACGAAAGAACGCGACGAGACGCTTCAGATGAGTACTTTAAAGGGACCCTCCCACCTTAACATTAGATTTGAGTTGAGATAGCCAAAATGGGGTCCCTGGCTCACAATTACCAGTTTCGGCACTCACAACATCGAGAAATGCCTTAAATCGGAAATATTGAATTTCAAAATTGCAGCATTTTGATTCAGAGGGGCTAATGCTTAGGAATACCCCTCTGAATGTGTGACGTTTGCCGTGCAGAGGTCTAGAAAAATGGACCTTGTGACGTCATCAAGGGGGCTAGGTCCAATTTTTTTTACTTTAGAAGATGTCAAATTGATGGGAGAAAAGGTACTGAAAGTTTCGCTTTCCTATCCCTAAGCGTTCGGGAGCTATCGCAAACATTCGCCAGGGGGGGGGGGGGAAACGCCCCCCACCCCGGGCCCGCGAGGCTTAACAAAGAAAATATAGTAATTGACTAGTACCACAGAGTGTTGCCATGCCAAGGAAATGATATTTACTTGCTTCATGTTGAAAAAGTCGAAATTCTTTCTTAAATCTGCAATTGAAAACTCGAAGACGGAAGACTGCACCTGTCCGCGTCCGTTCCGCCTGCGTTCTCCGCAGAAAAGTTCAACTTGTCGGACTTTGTTATTTCGTTTCCGTAGCAACCGCTTCCGAAACGCTTGCGGAGTGCTGACGGAAAATCAACAGCTGATTGCTGTTCGGATACGGTCCGCACGGAGCGCACACGATTTCCGTACGGACCGGATGCGCCCATAGGGTTCTGTGTTAAATTCCGTACGGACAAAGCTGTCATATTTTTGGACCGTGCAGAGGTGTGCTTTAGACGGCCTAAGTGATCTGAACCTGACCTGAGCTGACCTAGAAATGCGGCTGATATCACTAGATCTGGCTTGAATCATAGGTTAGGTATGCCAGTTGTGCTGTTCGTTTATGCTGCAATTATCCATAGTCCATACCTGTTTCTTGAGAGCATTATATCTTTGACACCATGCGACAAACACAGCTGGCTTGTCTCCCGCTCCGATGGCCATGCGACAGTTGGCAGCGGGGTGGCGGCCGCCTGCCGCCCGCTCCGGTGACCTCTGTCCTCCCGGCCCACCACATGGCCACCTGACGGCCGTGACAGGCTGGCCGTCCCCGACCGTCAGCGCGGCCAGGATACACGTGACATTTGCCGGGGTGACCGTCACGTCAGCGCCGCTCACCGGTGACACCGGCCGTCACACCCACGTGACGAGGGAACGAGCCGACCGGCCGTATACTGGCACCTCACTGTTCCCTGCGCGATCGGAGCGGCCGAACATGGCGCGCCCGAGACTGCCCCCATCGCTGCTGCTGCCACTGCTGCTGCTGCAGGCCTCCGACACCTTCGCCGGCATTGTGGACAGTGGTGCGCTGCTGGTGGCGCCGAAGGTGTGGCGGGCTGGATCCGAGGAGAGGGTCTGCGTCACCGTGTTCAACGTTCCCTCCCAGACGAGAACGTTGATAGAATCCGAGCCGAGCGCTGATCGGTCGATCTCTGCGAATTTTGAGCCAGTAGTGAATGTTGAGCGGACGACGGGAGACACGCGACGTCGGCTTTCCAACATTCTGAGTCTCCTCCGCAGCGGAGACCGGATAGCCGAGCGAAGGCCGGCGCGGACCACAGTCAGCAGTGCCCCGGCCCCGATCCGCGAGCACCGATCGTCGAGAATATCACGACACACGGTTGAAGTTTTCGTTGGCTTCGCCAACAGCAAGAATGGCAGAAGTGTGTTCGAGGATAACAAACGTGTACCGGCGGGTAGTGGTGCCACCACCTCCTGTTTTGGCGTGTCAGTACCGGAGACACTTAAGGCAAGCTACATTTACGTCAAGGTCCAAGGTAAGGCTGCGGTATGGTCCAAGGTTCGCGTTGAGCCCAAGGTACTAGTAACCCTGGTGCAGACGGACAAGGCCAAATACCGACCTGGCCAAACGGTCAAGCTGAGAGTTCTCTCGCTTCGTCAGGACTTCACGGCACTCGACGATACTATCAAGGAGATTTGGATAACGGCGCCCGAGGGCACCCGTCTGGCGCAGTGGCTCGACGTTCGGATGGACGTCGGCCTCGTGCAGAAAGAGTTTCAGCTGACCCAGGAGCCGCCGCTGGGCCGCTGGACGATCCACGTGCGCCGCGGTGACGGTGCCACCACAAAGCAGTCGTTCGATGTAGAAGAGTTCGTGCCTCCCAGATTCGAATTGGATGTCAACGTGCCCGGAGTCCTTTACCGTGACTCGCGGGTGCTCACTGTTAAAGTCTGCGCCAAATACACGTTCGGTAAGCCTCTGGTGGCTGCTGATGTTCGCCTGCTTATCACAAGTAAGGAGCCGAATGCATTTCGACAAGGGACCTCAGAAAACGGTCAGAACAAATATTCACAAAAGACTGACGGCCAGGGATGCACATCAATCCACGTATCGATGTCAAGACTACACGGCTCGTCGGGCATTCCTCACCATATTACGCAGTACATGGTATCGACTAATGTAACTGAAGCAAGTACGGGCATCAGCCAACTATCAGAAGTAGTTGTGCCTGTCAAAAGCACCAAATTGTTTAAAGTTATCAAAGACGAATCACCCAAGTTTATCAAACCAGGTTTGGACTATTATGGGACGGTCCGTTTTGAAAGACAAGATGGCTCCCCAGTGACCAGCGAACAAGTAGAAATCTGTCACACCGTCTATTACTATCGAGAAATGGCAAAGAAATCTTCAAATAGGCTTCCACCCATTATGAAAAATGCAAACACTGGCTCTCCCCGCGAGAAATGCAAAGTTTACCGCACAGATAGCTCGGGGAGAGTGATCTACGTCGTGCCAGCGCAGTATGACGAGATTGCCTACATAACATTCAAAGGACGCACCCTGGGAACGGAGCAGCGTTTTTCGCTGCCTCTGGTGCGCGCCTGGTACTCTCCCAGCGAATCGTTTCTGCTTATTGACGCCCGGAGTCTGCTGGGCGGCGTCAAGTGCGGTCAGACAGTCACAGTCGACGTAAGGCGCAGCGCAAACTTCCGTGCCGACGCCATGCGCTATTTGGTGCTGGCGCGCGGCGACATTGTTGGCGACGGGCCGGTGCACTCGAACTCGGTGAGGATTGTGATCAACTCCCGAATGGCACCCTCGTTCCGTCTGCTGGTGTACGCTGTAACCGACCAGGGAGAGGTGGTCGCCGATTCCAAAGTCGTCCGCGTGGCACCTTGTCTTCCAAATAAAGTATCGGTGTCGTGGAGCGCGGCGCAGGTCAGGCCAGGGGACACCGCCTCCCTGACGGTCACTGGGTCGCCCGGCTCGCTCTGCGGAGTGGACGCGGTGGACCGCAGTGCCCAGCTGCTGGGCACCTCCAACACGGTCAGCGTCGGCAAGGTGTTCAGTCAGGTGTCACGACTGATTATAGGGGAGAAGGCACTGCCGAAGCTGGCGCGCACCTCTTACGAGCATTGTTCGCGGATTCCTACCCGATACATAACCAGCGAGGAGCCATCATGCCCGTCTTCCAGAACGCGTCGTCAAGGATCAAACCAATATTGGGATCACAGGAAAATTTGGTATGAAGAAAAAAGAATTGAAACCTACATGGATGAGCGCGAAGATTCAGTAGCTGCCTTTGACATGGCGGGCCTTTTAGCGGTGACCGGCTTAGCTCTACAGACGCGGCCTTGTGTTGAGCGCATTGTTACTGTTAGAAAGCACATTAAATGCTATCCAATTTATGCAACGGTAACGACAGCGGTAGGGTCTTCGGGACCGCGCAAATCAGGGATTACGAATACTGCAGACAGTGTCGTAAGAACCGCGGTAAGAGGGACAAGCGCTGGAAGTGGATTCACGGTACTAAATCAAAGAGGTCCAATCAAGCAAGCTGCATCCAATCAACGTTCTGTAAAGCCTGGCAGCTTTGGCACATCTCCAAGCACAAAGACTTCAGCTGCTACTGAAGACAAAACTTTTGCAAGTATTGGGGACGATGATAGGAAAGTGCCACTCCTGAACAGCACGACAGTAGCAGTTTCTATCAATACGCAAGAAACAAACGTTGAGGTTGAGACCTTTCGAGAGTCTTTCGAGCCGGTCGTTCGTTTTTTCTTCCCCGAAACGTTTATATTCCAGTTATATGCTCTTGGATCATCGGGCCAGATTCGGCTGACTCAGCAGCTTCCTGACTCTATTACCAGGTGGATAGGCTCGGCGGTTTGCTCCCATCGTCAAGTGGGACTGGGACTATCTGGACAATCATCGATTAAAGTATTCAAACCCTTCTTCGCTGAAATAAATGTGCCCTATTCGGTGAAACGCGGAGAGCTACTACAGCTCAAAGTCTCCGTCTTCAATTTCCTCCATACGCAGCTTTCGGTGATTTTGCGACTTGAGGACGTTCCCGGCGTGCAGCTGCAGGGCCAGCGTGAGCGCGCGCTGTGCGTGGGCACCGACCAGCCGTCGGTGAGCACGTTCCCGGTGATGTTCACCGAGCTGGGCCAGCGCAGTCTGGTGGTGTCCGTCAGAGCCACCGGCGCGGCGTGCGGCAGGCCCAACGACATCGGCGTCCAGAGTGACGCTCTAGTGCGCGACATCCTGGTGAAGCCAGAGGGGTTTCCGCAAGAGGAGGCTCTGACGGAGCGAGTCTGTGCAAAGGATGGTGGCTCTAATACGCATGTGTTCGAGCTGGGCTTCTCGCCGCGAGTGGTTCCCGGCTCGTCGCGGGCGGTGGTCTCCATCTACGGCGATCCTCTTGGACAGGCCATCACCCAGCTGACCGGACTGGAGAGCCTCGTCAAGGTGCCTCATGGGTGCGGCGAGCAAAACATGGTCTATCTTGTTCCCAACATCCTGGTCCATCAGTACATGAAGGCCAAAGACATTCTCAGTGCTGAGCTGAAGAAGAAAACTGTCGACAACATGCTGAGCGGGTACCAGCGGCAGCTGAGGTATCGCCACTCGGACGGCTCGTACTCGGCGTTCGGCGAGAGCCGCTGGCGCCGCACTCAGGGCTCCCTCTGGCTGACCGTGTACGTGATGCGCTGGTTCGCGGTGGCCAGGAAGCTGGTGCCGATCGACGCCGAGGACCTGGCCGCCAGTCGCCGCTGGGTGGAGCAGCACCAGCGCAGCGACGGATGCTTCAACCGCGTCGGCTGGCTGTACGACAAGGCGATGAGCGGCGGCGTGGCCGACGGCGGCCGGCTGGCGCTCACTGCATTCACCGTGCTGGCGCTGCTGGAGGCCGACTCGGGCTCGGCGGCGCTGCGCCGCGCTGTCCGCTGTCTGCGCGACGGCACGCCCAGCGGCCTCTACGCTCAGGTGCTGGTGGCGCACGCCCTGCTGGAGGCCGGTGAGAGGGCGGCGGCGGAGGCGGCCGTGCCAGGCCTGCTGCGTCGAGCCGTGCGCGGCGAGGACTCACTCCACTGGCGTTCGGGACGTTCCAGCCGCTGGAGCGGCAGCAGCGCGCTGGACGTGGAGATCACCGCCTACATGACGCTGACGCTGCTTCGGCTGGGAGGCCACGAGACGGACGTCGCCGCGGCCGTCCGCTGGCTGGACCGGCGCCGCAACGGCCACGGCGGCTGGGTGTCCACGCAGGACACGGTGGTGGCGCTGTCGGCACTGGTGGCTGTCGAGCGGCGCTCCAACGAGCTGAAGGCGCACAACGTGGACGTCACCGTCACCTCGGGCAACACGTTCCGACGCCAGTTCCAGGTGACGGCCAGCAACCGGCTGCTGCACCAGCAGGCCGAGCTGCGGCCGCTGCAGCTGCCCACCACGGTGTCCGTCACCGCCGCCGGCTCTGGCTGTATCATGGCACAGACCGTCCTGAGATACAGTCTGAAGGAGACAAAAGCCAAGCAGGCATTCCAGATTAAGCACGACATACGGCCCGCTCAAACAGGACTCTGTCAGACGTTTATCCTGCAGATATGTGCCTCATACACTGCCGCAGATGCGGCGTCGAACATGGCCATCATCGAGATCGAGATGCTCTCCGGTTTCGTCGCCATTGACTATGTTCTGCAAGAGCTGGTGCGGAGCAATGTGATCCGGCGCTGGGAGGTGCGCCAGGCGGTGTTGGCGCTCTACTTTGACCAGCTGGTCAAGAAGACGCTCTGTTTCGATGTGCGCGTCCTGCAGGAGGCGGTGGTGCAGCGGCTGAAACCGGCCACCATCGCCGTCTACGACTACTACACCACCGAGCACCGCCTGGAGACCGAGTACCGACTGCCCGCCTGCGGCTAGCCGCTCAGCTCGCCGCCTGGAGACCGAGTACCGGCTGCCCGCCTGCGGCTAGCCGCTCAGCTCAGCCGCCCGAAGGCCGAGTATCTGGTCAGCCGCCCTGATAGGCCGCTCAGCCGACACGGCAGGCCGTCAGACATATGCCGACATAGCACAGCACTCGAATCGAAGTTTTTGAAGTAAAGTCTTGTTTTAGGTGATTCACTGCAATAAATGTTTGAATTATGTTGTATTTTTTCAAGTGGTTTAGTGGAAGGTTCTAGCACAGTTTTATCTCCGCAACTACAGGCACGAGAGCGCCGAGGCAATTATAGTTTCCAACGAGCATATTTGAGATATGTTGTGGCTAGCGGTCGAGTCAAGCAGCTTCGAGAGTCAATGAGCAAAGGAAAATGAACAATATCTCTTTTAAAGGACGACCAGTGAAATGCCCGACATCCTATCGGCCTTAGGTAACTGTTCTGGTGTTTTATGCTTTATTCAGGTAGATACCCTGCCCGGTGTTCATATTCCTATCAATAATAACCCTATGCTAGGATGGTAGGGGAGAGCGGGGCCAGTTGAAACACGGGGTCAGATGAAACATGGCTTTATTTTCAACAGCATGCAACATATGGCGTTGCCGACACCACTGCGCATCCGCGCTCGACCACTTCCTTTGTCAACGGCGTTTGGGCGGCAAACGGACGGTAATTTTGATTTGACACTTGTTTTTGTGTTTTTGAGGGGCGTTTGGGAGAAATCGTTCTTATGAATATTTTGTGATATCTCATAAACCTTTGTTTGCTGAAAGAAGAACTCCTGGCTCCGGAATAACATCTTATTTGTCCCTTCATTCAGCATGATGCCGTCCCTCCAGCTCGTTTGACATGTGCTTTACGGCGCGTGCGAGATGGCGGGAGCGGATGGGGTCAATTGAAACGCTTCTCTGAGGGTCAGTTGAAACAGGGCCACAGGCCGTTTCAATGGACCCCGGTGACCTTTGCAATGGCTATTGTTCAGGGGCTGTAAACATTAAAGGAAATAGTCCACCTTTGAAATGAGCTTTTAAACTGAAATAGTAGTTTAATAGAGCTCAATTTTTTTACCCCTTTTTCTCCAGCCCTTTGCTTGAAAGCACACTATAGCCTGAGATATTTCTCATTTTTCTCATCCGCCCATTTTACCATAGTCTATGTACTTTATGTCACCTATTATGAGGAACTTTGCACTTTTAGCTTTCCAACGACCTATTGAATGTAGCATTTGGAAAAGTAAACCGGACAAAATATCTCCTTAAGAAAGTGGCCTTAAAGAGGAAAACATCCCATATTGTTAAGGATAGGTGCAATTGACCCCATGGGCTGCTTCAATTGACCCTCGCATCGGGGTCATTTGAAACGGGCGTAGAGCTGTTTTATAAGCATGCGTTTGGCAGCAAAATATGTTTGAAACATAATTTTACATATCTTAAAATAAAGCCAAAAGAGCATATTTTTTCATGGCATTGTGCATTTTTCGATATGACAACTAGATCTCGCTGTGCATGTCAATATATAAAAAGTGGTTCAACTGGCCCCGCTCTCCCCTACCTACAATAGCGACAGTGGTCAATCCATCATCATCATTATATTCATATTATACCGACAATAATATGTAAATGGTTCTACACGATTACGCTGAAGAAAAGATGTCCGGTGCCATGGATGGTTTTGCCGCTGCATGTCCATGAGTGAGAAGCACTTCTAACATCCGTGGTGCTACAAAACAGGGATGTTGCGCAATCATCAATGCTATCGCACGCGATGAGTGACATGCATAACAGCCATTGCATTCGTTATCTGTGTATTTAGTGGTAGACTGGAGCGTGTATACACCACCGTGCATGGCCGTCAGACGAGTGCACTCTGCGAGCACGTAACACACACGAGCAGCTGGACAAGTTGGACGTTCAGCTGCCGCACCGGCCTCCGCGCGCTGCTGAAGGCCGGCTGAACTAGCGTTTGCACAGGAACCAAAACTGGCCGGTGTTCCTCGGGAACGGGATGTCGCTGCTGTTGTCCACCTGCGGGCAGAACACGCCGGTCGACAATGTACAGGAGGGGACGCTGCATAGCATCTTTGCATTGCAAGAGCTAAGTGTTCTCTTCGGCGAACTTAACACCGACGATGGTGCTCATTTTCGATTGTTTTTGTCAACAGGGACATTAGTTAGGCGTTAGTGCGTGTGGGCATCAACTTTATCCGCTTCCACGCATGATAAAAATGCAATTTCTCATTTTCGGGCAATTTTAAATCTGACACAAATCCCCACCCACAAATCAATAGCAGGCTTGCGCGTTCTAACTTCTATGAACTGTTTGTAACTCACTCGAAGGTTGACGTCGTCAAATCGGTAGTAGTTCTGTCCGCTGAAGAAGTACGTCTTGCCGTTGCTGTACCTTGTGGCGGCGTCGATGGTGTCGGGCATCCCCGGCCACTCGGAGAGGGGACGAGGAGCGGGCAAGTCCGGCCGCCAGAACTGACCGCCCCGGATCATGTACACGCGACCGGGCTGACCCAGCTCGAAAGCAGCCGAAAGGTCGCCGTCGGCCATACCGGGAAACACCTCCGCGATGGGCTTCGGAAAGCCGAACTCGATAGTGTAGTTCTCGGTGAATCTCCATACTCTGTGGCCCTGCAGTAGAAAGGGGTAGATGGAAGCCATAGGTAACTTAAATGACGCATACGAAGACATTAGACATGATTCCTCGCAATCAAGGTGATAACGAGTATCACATAAGCAATGGAAGGTTGACGGTTGATATGAAACCGAATCAAACATTTGATTGTCCAGTGTCCACATATGCCGCCCGTCAAGGCACACTTTCGACCTTGTTTTGTATTTAGCCAGGATCTGTGGACACTGTAGTTGCTGTTCGCTGTTCCTTGAACCTCACCTTGAACATGTAGATGCGCTCGGTGGCGCTGTGGTAGAGGGCGGCGTCCAGCGGCGCCGGCAGGCCGTCCCAGCCGGCGCTGATGTTGCGCGGGTAGCCGGTGGCCACGCCCGTCTCCGTCAGCCGCCAGTAGCTGTGGCCTCGGAAGACGTACATCGTGTCGCGGTCCATGAGAGCCGCGTCCAGCCGGCCGTCCGCGCACAGCGCCGCGTCACCATGCGCCTTCGTCTCGGCCCGTCTGTCCTCGGTGATGTACGAGTACATGTCCTGTCCAAAGTTGATGCCGAAATTCGACCACGAGAACGTGTAGGGTCGCCGCGGCGCCGCGCGCTGGGTTGGGTAGTAGCCGCCCCTGCGATGCCCTGCGTAGCTCCGGGGCTGGTTGACCGAGCCCCCATACACAGGCTGGTGATAAGTCGGGACCTGCCACCGCCTCTGCACGCCCGCACCGCCGTTCGGCAAAATTTCCGGACCCGGTTTCTTGAGGCGGGGAGGTGGCGAAATGGCGGCGTTTCTTTTCCCGTACAATTTCTGGATGGCGTCGATGTCGTCCTGCGCCAGCAGGTCCCTGGCGGCGGGGTTTTCCGGCCGCTGGTACCAGGGGCTCATCATAGAGTTCACCTGGGAGTGCGCCAGGCCCAGGCTGTGACCGAACTCGTGTGTCGCAGCCACGTATAGGTTAGAGCCATGCTTCGAGTTGATGGACCACGACTCGGCGTCGTCAAAGTGCGCGTCGCCGCCGTATATGGGGAAGAAGGCATGCGCCAGGGTACCGCCCTTGTCGTCGAATGGATCTCCGTCCCCGTGCTCACCGACTGCGAACCTGCGGCGATCAGTACGGCATTACACTGCGAACCTGGGGCGATCGGCACGGCATTACACTGCGGTACTGTGGCGATCGGCACGGTATTACACTGCGAACCTGGGGCGATCGGCACGGCATTACACTGCGAACCTACGGCGATCGGCACGGCATTACACTGCGGTACTGTGGCGATCGGCACGGCATTACACTGCGAACCTGGGGCGATCGGCACGACATTACACTGCGAACATGTGATCGGCGCGGCATTACACTGCGAACCTGCGGCGATCAGTACGGCATTACACTGCGAACCTGGGGCGATCGGCACGGCATTACACTGCGGTACTGTGGCGATCGGCACGGCATTACACTGCGAACCTGGGGCGATCGGTACGGCATTACACTGCGAACATGTGATCGGCACGGCATTACACTGCGAACATGTGATCGGCACGGCATTACACTGCGAACATGCGGCGATCGGCATGGTATTACACTGCGAACCTGCGGCGATCGGCTCGGCTTTACACTGCTGAACTGTGGCGATCGGCATGGCATTACACTGCGAACCTGTGGCGATCGACACGGCATTACACTGCGAACATGTGATCGGCACGGCATTATACTACGAACATGTGATCGGCACGGCATTACACTGCGAACCTGTGGTGATCGGGATTTGCAGCGAGCGGGATTTTTATCGAACTTCAAACCTGCGGTGGTCGGGACGGTAGGTATCCGAAAGATGCATAATATCTAAAAATGAAAATGTTTTGATGTTAACATTGTTCAAGCACTGGCGGATCCAACGGGGGTGGGGGTGGGGGAGTATTTGAGGCAAATACCCCTTCACAGCGGCCGGAATCGATGCAAATTGTTTTTTATATAGAATAGAAAGAAAACTAAATAGCTATTATTGATACTTTATACAGCATAGCAATGCATAAGAAATCGAGATCCGAAGAGTTTTGAATTTTGAGATTTTTCGGGGGTAGGTATGCGCCCTCCCCGCAGCGCTCGAGGCCACCTTTCTGGAACCGCCAATGGTTTCAAGTGATTCGCTGTCGGCTAAAACATCACTGCATTGGTAGGCTTAAATAGACCGATGCCCGGCCAATGCCCATTGAGCAAATGTAGACTGGTACCCAGTAACTCAGCTGCCCTGTACCAACTGGCAAATGCAGCGCCTGAACCATGCTGTGCCGCACTGCTTAGTAGATTTTTTTCCTACCGACAGATGGCTCTGAATTATGCAGCGCCTGAAGCATGCTGTGCCGCAGTGATCGATAGTTCACTGCGGAACTATCGATCTATCTGTTCATCATCATCATCTGTTCATCATCATGTATCTGTTCATCTATCCATGAACAGATAGATGACTCTCAAGAATAGCGCCTGAAGCATGCTGTGCCGCATAGCTGCTTGGTAGTTTATACTTCTGCCAATAGATGGCTCTCAAGCACAGCGCCTGAAGCATGCTGTGCCGCACTGCTTGGTAGTTGCTGCTTCTGCCAGCAGATGGCTCTCAAATACAGCGCCTGAAGCATGCTGTGCCGCATAGCTGCTAAGTAGTTTCTACTTCTGCCAATAGATGGCTCTGAAGCACAGTGCCTGAAGCATGCTGTACCGCACTGCTTGGTAGTTGTTGCTTCTGCTAACAGATGGCTCTCAAATACAGCGCCTGAAGCATGCTGTCCCGCATTGCTTGACTTCGGCGCGACTCATGGGGCTGCAGTGAGCATAACCGCAGGTTGTTTCTTCATTAGACAAACACTATACGACATTCGTTAGTAACAGAAGTATTCGGTAACTCGGTATGCTTATTGTATATGTTCAAGGGTTGTTGTGCGCTGACAACTGGATTGTATTTTGTATGATAAACAGGTCCTTGCCCTTTGGGTCTGTTGTAAGGGCCTAAGCGAACTTGGCTATCAGCTATGATATAACCAACTCTTAACCCGGCAGTTGCTGGGGTATTTCGCCACCCACCGTTTGCTGGGGGGGGGGGGGGGGGGCGTTAAACGCCCCCAGCCGATAACTCGAGAACCAATAGGCGCAGCGAAACGCACGAGGCGGCAAACGAAAGAACGCGACGAGACGCTTCAGATGAGTACTTTAAAGTTGAATTTTGAGGTCACAGGTCAGGTCAAGGTCAGGTCAAACACCTGAAATCGGGCTTTCAGTAGCATGGACTTCAGGACTTCGCAATGGGCGCCTCTCGTCATAAACTCTGTCAAAACGGTGCACAATCCATCATATAAGGCCTACAAGAGTGTCAGCTCCATACAGGGGTCAGTCAAGCATAGGTCAGGGTCAAGGTCAGGTCAACCGGGCAGGCACATATCCCCGAAAATAAAAACTGATATTCGCAGCCTGTGACACATGTTTTATGGGTAATTTGGGGCGTAGAACACGATGGTGACATTCATTTTATCATATGTGTACGTGTTTGGTTAAAAAAGTTCAATTTAAGAAATTCATGTATCATGGTCGTGAAGTAGTCACGAGAAATTGCCAAGATTCAGTTCAAGATTTTGGAAAATGCGGAACGATAATCAATAATCGAAGATAGCTATTTGATTCTCCATGGTATTGGCAGTCTAATGGCGTTTATGGCATGTCTATATGTCTATTCTGTGATTTTATATGATTTTTTGAACATATGCCGTTTTTGGTCGAAAACTCAGAAATCATGACGTCACTAAAACCTCGATATCTCAAAAATTTTCCGACTGATTTTTTTTTAAACTTTGTCACAATAAACTTCAATCAATTCCCTACAGGTACCCAAAATTTGGCGCGCCTGCGGCGCGCCGTTTTTATGCTATGGCCCGGCGAAAAAAGTGGGGGCGTTTAACGCCCCCCCCCCCAGCAACTCGCGGGTTAAAGGAACTATCCCACCTTCTAAAATGTTGTTAAAACCAGTTAAATTGTGCCCGACTTTATAGATTGGATGATCAGGAACACGGTTCTGGCATTTATTTTTCATTAAACATCTTAGGCTTCCCATATTCCAAACACAAACTTTCAAATATGTGACGTCACAGCCCAAAATTACCTCCTTCCCCAGGCCACATTACTGTCATAAAGCTGATTCTTTTTACTCTGTAGGCACCACAACAAAGTTCAGACCAAGTTTTAAGTGATTTTTCAACGAACAAACCCATTTAAATCAGAATGACTAAACGAGGTGACGTCACACTAACGGTCGCTCCATGTTGAAGATAGGGCCTTGCGCAAGACCCATTTTCAAATGAAGGGAACGAATTTCTTCAACACCAAGAGGCCGCGGGGGTTGCAACCTAGATAGATAGTGGTTTCTGAACCTCGCCGCAAACTTGGCTATCTCAACTCAAACCCCATGTTAAAGGTGGGATAGTCCCTTTAACCCTCCCCGGCCGAGGGGGGGGGGGGGGCGGGTGCCGCCCCCCATGGGTTTTTTCGCGATAGCTCCGAACACGCTGGCGATAGAGAGCTGAAACTTGGCATACCTGACCTTTGATTCAAGCCGGATCTTTTGACACCAACTGCATTTTTGGGTCTGGTCAGGTCACTGACCTATGACGTCATAAGTGAACTTCTGCACGGTCTTCAGATGTCGCAACTTCGCAACGCCCTCACTGCCAGAGGAGATGTCACAGGGAAATAAAACTTGCAGGATCTAGTATCCATTATAAGTCTCACAACTTGTATATCTCGGATTTTTCCTAAAGGTCATATGAGGTCAGGTCATTTTCGTGACCTCACCATTAAGTCAATGGGGAAAAATGAAAACTGCTATTCTGGCGCCGGGAACGATCTCCAACTATCTCAAGCACACATAGTCGTGATTTGATGCACTCCTTGCAAGGTTAGATGCGTCAATTTTGCAATGTTGACCTTGCGTGACGTCATTTATGACGTCATCAAGGTCATATTAGTTTTTCGTCAATAACTCCCGATCAAATTGAGCTAGCGAGTCGGGAAAGCCACCAATGGACTCAGGAAGACCTGCCGAATCGAATGATATGCGATATAACCTCTTTCGACCAACTTCGTGACCTGGGGGTGCTGACCTGACCTTGACCTGAGGTCAACACCCCAAGTTGACCTGACCCGAACAAAAAGTATATCATTCGACGCGCCTGAGCGAGGCGAACACGATGCTGCCAAAATCGCGGCTCTGCGGCCGTTTTTTGCGAAGCTATTCACCAAAAACTGAACCGTACCTTGGGGTACTTGACCTGACCTCAGAGGTCACCGGTTGACCTAGGACCTTAAAATCGGGCACCAATCTCTGCGTCTCGTAACGGCGCACACGTTCGTTTTTTCCGCGACGCGCTACCTCCACCAGGGGCGAAACGGCGAGGGGGGTCGTACCCGCCCCCCCCCCCCTCGGCCGGCGCGTATGTAGAAAACCAATAGTTCCGGCGAGGGTTAAAATTCTCGTCAAACAGCACGAAATATGCTGCCGTATGAGCGATGCTCGGCAGAATGTTTCGGCACAGAATAACATATTTAATGATATACGACAGGCCAAAACAGTTGAGACGTACTTGACCTCAATATGCGTTCCCTTTTGTGTTTTGGGGACCTTCCTGAAGTTGATGTTGGCCTCTCGGGCCCAGGTGTTGAGCGCGTCCTCGAGCAGGTCGTCGGTGGCGCCCTGGGAGTTCACCGACGTGGGGCCGTTCTCTATGGAGTAGTTGAGAGTGGGTGCGGTCCATCGCGAACCTGCGACAGGGACGGAAACGATCCAGTCATTGACAGGTGACACTAACGAGACACTATATAATTAGTTAATGATTAGGCACTATCAACATTTAACTTCTGGTGATATTCACGATCAACGCTGGGAATAATTAAATTGCTTGTCTTTAATAATAGTTAAATAATTTACTTGTAGCCAATTTTACGATACGCGATTTAACTAAGCAAATGCTGCTTTTCAATTTGACATTTTCCAATTACTTGTTATTTGAATGAAATTTGGTGACGTTCTCCCGCCGAAGCATGCATTGCATACAACCCACCGTGCAGGGCCCATCGCTTGCGACGGCCTGTTTTTCTGACGGCCCTGCCCACGTTGTCCTTGACTCCACAGCGGGGCTCCGTCAGCTTGGCCTGAGTGGCGTTGTCCAGTTCGCCTGTGGAAAAATGCGAAACGAACTCAAAGACAAACAAACGCACGCTGAAAGATGAAGCAGCATTTCTTTCGATCACAATTCACTTGCCATGTGTGTCATTGGGACAAGGAAACAAGCGAAATATAGAACCACGTCATTGCTTGCATAAAAATACGATACAAATATATGTCCTTATCACAATTGGAGGCATCATTATATATACCAGCTGGCATGAACTTACCTGTCTCCTTTAGACCAGCAAACTTTTGAAATTTTCTGATATCGTCCGAGAGGATTTTCAGGGCTCCAGATTTGTCTGCCTCTCGCAGTTTGGTGTGATTGGTGTGACCAAACCTGATAAAGTAGCCCTGAATATACGTCTGTGTTAGGGAACAATACACACAACATGGTGGATAACATCGAGAGGGCGTTGGGTCGCTGAACAAGCAAGAAACCAACAAAGCTGTGGACGTTTAGCAGCGGAGTATCAGGTAACGAAACGGTACAACAGACTATAAAGTAAGTCAGGAAGGTTTTAGCCATTAGCTTTGTGTGCTCCCAGATGCCAACCGCATGCTGAAAGCTTTATGCCACAAAATGAGAAGTCATTGACTTAGCTTATCTGAATCCTGAAAAGACAAAAGACAAACGGAAGGGTAACTTCTGGATGTTTTTAAAATCAAATTGAATCTCAAGACGCATTATTCAACACCAATTCTGTATTGGCCTACTCTTGAGGTCGGTTATAAAATATATGAAAAATGAAAATGTATTTTTGTTTGTGCTTCTCTTTTTTCTCACATGAAAAAGAACGTTGTGGACAAGAGAGCCACGACAAAATAAATAAACGTAGTTGGACAAAACATTTTATGGGCTCATGCATGACAGGTAACATAAATCATGTGGTCTGTGGCTCTTTGGCGTGACTCACCACAGCTTGGGCGACCTGAGCCGGCGTAGCGTTCTCTAGCGGAGCTGCCGCGCCGCTCCCGATCAGCACCAGTCCCAGCGCCAGCGCCAGCACCGGCCGTGACGTCATCACCGTCCGGTCAGCCTGCCGCGTACGGTACGAGGTGCGAGTTCTGCTCTCAGTGCCTGTCTTATAATTAAGCAATAATAAGGTGGGAACCAGTATCTAACTGCGCATGTGTTAATATGATTTGAATGCTTAGCCAATACTCAATTGAAATATTATATTTAAGAGTTATCTTTTTATTTATATTTTATTTATTTATATTTTATATTTAAGAGTTATATTTAAAACTTATCTTCAATCATAAGAGATTCAAGGGTGACTTTAGGGTGAACAGACTTTATATATCCAATACCCTACATATTTCATTACCGTTAGACTGAACGGACAGACTGCGAGAGCCACTGACCGTGCTGAAGCTCTGGAGGTCGACTGCGGTCCATCCCATGGCCGGTGGTGAGGACAGTAGAGGCTCGCCAGCGCCCGCGACCAACTCTATATAGCCCTGAAAGGCTGACAGTCGGCGCGAGCACAGGAATGCACCGGAAGGTGGGCCAAAGGCCACCCCGCCCGCTGCGCTCTGTCGCTTTGTCAGGTCTCTCTGCCTCTCTCTCTCTCTCTCTCTCTCTCTCTCTCTCTCTCTCTCTCTCTCTCTCTCTCTCTCTCTCTCCTCTCTCTCTCTCTCTCTCTCTCTCTCTCTCTCTCTCTCTCTCTCTCTCTCTCCTCTCTCTCTCTCTCCTCTCTCTCTCTCTCTCTCTCTCTCTCTCTCTCTCTCCTCTCTCCTCTCTCTCTCTCTCTCTCTCTCTCTCCTCTCTCTCTCTCTCTCTCTCTCTCTCTCTCTCTCTCTCTCTCTCTCTCTCTCTCTCTCTCTCTCTCTCTCCTCTCTCTCTCTCTCTCTCTCTCTCTCTCTCTCTCTCTCTCTCTCTCTCTCTCTCTCTCTCTCTCTCTCCTCTCTCTCTCTCTCTCTCTCCTCTCTCTCTCTCTCTCTCTCTCTCTCTCTCTCTCTCTCTCTCTCTCTCTCTCCTCTCTCTCTCTCTCTCTCTCCTCTCTCTCTCTCTCTCTCTCTCTCTCTCTCTCTCTCTCTCTCTCTCTCTCTCTCTCTCTCTCTCTCTCTCTCTCTCTCTCTCTCTCTCTCTCTCTCTCTCTCTCTCTCTCTCTCTCTCTCTCTCTCTCTCTCTCTCTCTCTCTCTCTCTCTCTCTCTCTCTCTCTCTCTCTCTCTCTCTCTCTCTCTCTCCTCTCTCTCTCTCTCTCTCTCTCTCTCTCTCTCTCTCTCTCTCTCTCTCTCTCTCTCTCTCTCTCTCTCTCTCTCTCTCTCTCTCTCTCTCTCTCTCTCTCTCTCTCTCTCTCTCTCTCTCTCTGTCGTTGGAGTCTGTGGATCTACAGTTATATCTGATCAGGATCTTAAATATGGAATTGTTGTACTGGGACATGGTAAATATTCAGAAACGAATTATTCGACACCAGTAATATGTATATGATCGGTAGCTTTCGGGGGCTGCTGCCTCCTTCATCAGCCTGCTTTTTAAATGCATTAGAACTTAAGACAATACGTTTCAAACATGTCTACCAAAAAGTAAACCGCCACGAGGAAAAGTTGTAACGGTACGTCTCAAGCATAGATGCACAACAGTTTGATACATGATAACAAATAATAACACATAATTAAGTCGCCATCGTCCGTAACATCCGTAATAAAACATTCGACATTAATCGTGATCCGTGGTCGTAACAATCGAATTCGCACAATCGGGGTCATGACACATTAATGGATGGTAATCGTTATAGGATCGTAATCGTTTCATACTCGCAGGCGCACAAGCTTGCATAAATTCGCTCTGATATTCGCTCTGATGCATAAAGGACAGGTTGGGGGTGAAGGAGAAGGCTGGGCTGGTCTATCAGTATAAGTGTCAGTGCGGAAAAATTTATATAGGAAAAACCGGGAGAAAGCTAAGGACGAGGGAATCGGAACACAAACGAGCTATAGCAAACGGAAACCGGGATCACTCAGGGATATCTGAACATGTGCTAGAGACAGGGCACTCTATCAAATGGGACGAAGTTAAAATTTTGGATTATGAAACGAACTGGGGTAAACGAAAGGTGAAGGAGGGTTTTTACATTTCCAGGGTAGAAAGACACAATAGCATTAACATCTTACCCGGGTGGGAGGTGCCTGATATGTACCGGGCACTACGTGTGTAAGGCGCTTTTCGATGAGGCTGAGTGAGCTGTCAAAAATAGGTACACTTGCTTTTGAATTGTTGAAAATTGTTTTGTTGTATAGGCGTGTGGCTATCAGAGCGAATTTATGCAAGCTTGTGCGCCTGCGAGTATGTAACGATTACGATCCTATAATGATTACCATCGATTAATGTGTCATGACCCCGATTGTGCGAACTCGATTGTTACGACCACGGATCACGATTAATGTCGAATGTTTTATTACGGATATTACGGACGATGGCGACTTAAAGGGACACTCCCACCTTAACATTAGTTTTGAGTTGAGATAGCCAAATTGGTGGCCATGGCCTGCAAATACCGGTTTGGGCACTCACAACATCGACAGATGCTTTAATTCGGAGATATGGAATTTCAAACTTGCAGTTTTCGGATTCTAAGGGGCTAGTGCATTGGTATGCCCCCTTAGAATTTGTGACGTCAGCGGAGATCTAACGATTTTTAAATCTTTTACTAAAACGTTTGGTAGCACGCGGTGGTATATGCTGCTTTGCGCGCAACAAATGCCGCACTTTCAAATAAAGTCGCTAGGAACAGCGGAGATCCCAAAAAGTAAACAAAAGTAAAAGTCTAATATCTTGAAAACCGGTGAATATTTTTCGATGAAATTTGGTAGATATTCGTTTTCGCTCTTTCTGAACCGAGCGACATCACTTTCGCGCCAATTCATTAACTTTTTGAAGGTGGGAGGGTCCCTTTAATTATGTGTTATTATTTGTTATCATGTAGCAAACTGTTGTGCATCTATGCTTGAGACGTACCGTTATTACTTTTCCTCGTGGCGGTTTACTTTTTTGTAGACATGTTTGAAACGTATTGTCTTGTGTTCTAATGCATTTAAAAAGCAGGCTGATGAAGGAGGCAGCAGCCCCCGAAAGCTACCGATCATATACATATTACTGGTGTCGAATAATTCGTTTCTGAATACTGATCAGGATCTACCTACAAAGTACAGTCGACATGTCTCTCTCGTTCTGTCTGGCCTGTCGCTGTGATCTGTCGAGCTGTCAAGTACTGAATCTAAATTTTTGCCCAAATATGGCTACAGACATTTGCGCATCTCTTGTGAGACCAATTGTTGTGGCAATGTGACGGAGTCAAAGTATTTTATTGTGGATTGGAACGTGGAGGCTCCCACTGATACTGCGTCTGCGCGGATGATATGCTGATTGAGATTATTATATTCCAACCTTTTCAAAGCTACCGATATCTTGTTATTACTCAGATTCCGTACGGGTCTGACATTAGTTTTATCGTGCGCCTAGTTATACGTTTCGTCATTAAACATATAACATTGCTATATGTTTCTTGACAACGACCTCGATGCAAAGGTCGAAAATTCGAAATAAAAACAATAAACAACTAGTGGCCGAAAAAACGTACTTTGAATTATTTGCGTTTTCCTTACATACTCTACTACATATAGATAGAGGTACAGCCCACCGCTAAAGTAATGTGTGGTTTTACCAATCTCAACGGATGGCTTTGACCGACAATTTTTAAATGCGGACTGATTGAAAAGAAGACGTCAATAGATAAAGTTGTAGCTGCAAGGGTGAAGATACATGTAAGCTACATTTAAAGTCTCGTTACAGTCTGGCTGATCGTTCTTAGGCTTCAGAAGCATAACATACCCATGACTGAAACCACACATTACTTCTGCTGTGGACTGTACGTGCCTGACTGTTACAACTGCCTTGTTAAGGTGCGGAGGTGTAATCGCGGAGGACAGTCCACGATCGAGTCCACACTCGCCGCCGGTAGCTATCACAGGCTACTGGATAGCTTTACGTAACTCTGGTGATTCGGACTCTGGCACCTTCTGTGCGAGTGTGGCCACGTACCAGCGAGGTGCACGTGACGGCACGGCCACACAGCGCGCCGAGCGTGCGTGGTGTGACGTGTTGCGCCGCTCGTCAGCGCAAGCGGCCCAGCCTGCATACATCAGAAGCTGGCAGAATCCACATGGCTAACGCTAACGACTTGTACCACTCGTACATATAAGTATTTTAAAAACAATCGGCGGGAATGTTTGGAAGCATGCGTTTCTCTCGCTAGAAAATCATTCAAGAAAAAAAGAACATTTAACTAAAATTCAAACCTATATACCTTAACATGTGTTGTATTTTTCAAATAGTGTTGAATATTTATTCGGAATAACCGATTATCGACAGATACGGTTATAGATGTCTGCATCCGTAATTAAGTAGGTAGTGTGGATAATTACGGTATACCTACTGGTCACCCGCGGCTGGACATGATAACATATGGTGTTTCGAATCTTTATGTCAAAAACACATCAATGTCCCAGTAAAGTCGAACTTTCCTTTTCCATGGCCACCGTGCACCGGTGTCGATCATTGCTACGGATGACAGCTGTGATGGCGAGATAGCTAACTTGTATCCGACCATCAATATCGCCTTTTCAACTTTCTACCGTTTCTTGGCTTTATTGATCATATCAAGCCCTTGGTATTGGACATCAAATGTATGGTAAATGAAAAGGCAATAAGCAGATGGACTCAGGCTACAATTCATTGCTGTTGGAAAAGCAAACGCTTCGTCACTTTTTTTTTTCTGCGACTAATCACGCTATCTCCAGCGATATGTGACTTATCAGTAGTACCTCTTCAAGCTTGCTGAGCTCTTCTTTGTCACGCTACTGGTACCCGACTTCGCCTTATGATCTGACCTGTGCCTTGCACTGGATTTTTGGTCCTTCGATCGACCACTGCTCGGTGCCTGTTGATGCTGTCCCTTCATTACAGAATCAATCAGGTCTTTGTTGTTTATAAAGAAAACCTTTTTCCAGCCAATCTTCTTGACCACCTTTAGATCATCTGCCGTTGGAGTCTGCTGAGAGTGGCGGCGATACAATATTTCCCAGAGCTTGTCAGTGCTGCAAAGCTCCAACAGCTTTTTGCATGTCAAACTCAACGAGATCAAATCTTTCAGATCTAGCATCAGGCTGATCTTTTGCAGACATGCCGGGGGTAGCCGGGGCAAGAAATCCCACTCCCCAAGTACGATGCGCTCTACGTGGTCCAGTGTGTCCTGTCCAAACACCTTTATGATTTTCTCGTGAAACTTCGTCTCATGGAGAAACTCTTCGAACGTAAAGGACTCCTCGTCGGGCGCCGCGTTGGCGTGCGAGAGTGCGTTGGAGATGCGCCAGCGCACCAGTGCCACTTTATTCTTTCCAACCTTGACCTGATAGTAGTCTCGGGAAGGTGACGCCGCCTGGTCCCGGGTCTCAAACAGGACGCCTTCATCGGGCGAGAACACGGCTGCATACCGCAGGGCCATGTCCATGCACGACTTGCGCTCCG